GTGTCAGTTTTTGCATTAAATAGGAAAATCTTTGCTTCGTAAGTGACAAAAGTTTCATTTTTCTGTCGTAAGCAGGGAATTTTTGATCAATTTTCAAATGAAGTTCTTTATGGGGCCATTTTTTTAAAGACCGGGTTTTAGCTAAATAATTTCTCGGAACTGGGAGGAAACACAAATGTGGCAGTTCTTGCATTGAATAGGATCAAATTTGGTTCATACGTGATAAAAGTTGCATTTTTCTGCCATAAGCAGGGAATTTTTGGCTAATTTTCAAAGTATTTTTGGAGTCATTTTTTTGCGAAGACCAGCTTTAAAAATGGAGATCGTCGAAGTGAGAGTGAAATCTAAATCTGGTCGGTTTTGCATTAAATAGGAAAAACTTTGATTCATAAGTCAGAAAAGTTTAATTTTTCTAACGTACGCAGGGAATTTTGGAAGAATTTTCAAAGTTTGTTTTGGAGTCATTTTTTTGCGTAGACCAGCTTTCAAAAATTGATATATCCGAAGGGAGAGGAAATATAAATGTGATCCGTCTTGCCTTCATTAGCAAAAACTTCGATTTCTCAGTTGTAAAAGTTTCCTTTTTCAATCGTAAGCAGGGAATTTTTGAAGAATTTTCAAACAAAGTCTTTTTTGGAGCAATTTTTTTAAAGACAGGATTCAAAAAAATTAAATTCTTAGAACTGGGCGGAAACACAAATGTGACCGTTTTAGCATTAAATAGGAAAATATTTGCTTCGTAAGTGACAAAAGATTAATTTTTCTGTCGTAAGCAGGATATTTTTGATGAATTTTGGAATGAAGTTTTTTTGCAGTCATTTTTTTAAAGACCGGGTTTAAAAAGTTAATCTGTCAGAACTGCGCGGAAACAGAAATGTGTCCGTTTTTGCAATGAATAAGAAAAACTTTGGTTCATACGTGGCAAAAGTTTAATTTTTCTGCCATACGCAGGGCATTTTTGACGAATTCTTCTTCGTCTTTTATGGAGCATTTTTTTTTCAAGGACCAGTTTTAAAAAGTTGCGATGTACGAACTGGGCGCAAATATAAGTTCACGGTTTTCGCAGTCAATTGCAAAAGCATTGATTCTTAAGTGGCAAAAACTTAATTTTTTTTGTCATTAGCAAGGCATTTTTGACGAATTATCGAATAAAGTGTTTTTGGAGCCATTTTTATTCAAAAAAGCTTTCATTCATCATTCATTTCAAAAAAGTGTTTCACTGCATGCAAGTCAGTTAGTAGTTTGCTGATAGCAAACGCACCTGCAATTCGATATAATTTTTTGATTGGATTGGTCTACACAATTAGCTTCACTTTTTTGC